AGGAAAGGAAAGGAAAGGAAAGGAAAGGAAAAGAAAAGAAAAGAAAAAAAAGAAAAGAAAAAAGAAAAAGACTGACTAAAACTGGCTGAGGCAGACATCTTTCTTTTGTGTACAGAGGCATCCCCTGGAGGAGTTGATAAAGCTAGAGTGCTGAGCCACTTTCCTAGTTAGTCTGAGAAATTTCCATGTCTAGAAGTCCCCAGACTTTTAGAGGAACACAGATACAGCTGAGCAAGAACCGTGGCCTTCTCTTCTGAGCAGAATGGGAATACATTTTTGCAACTTATCAGGTGACTCCATTGTTCATGACTTCAAGAATGGAGTTGTGATACAGCATCCTGAGATCCCCCCAAGCAATACTAAATTGGGCTTTTCTCTGTGGGATTAGAGAGATAACTGAATGGGAGAACAAAAAGAAAAAACAAACAAACAAAAAGAAATAAAAGAAGCAGAAGTTGTTAACTATAAAGCAAAATAAGTTAATTTAGTTGTTAATGGTGAATGGATGATTAAATCTTACCTAAAGATACATTTATCATAATGGAGACCTTACTTATATAAACAGAAGATACCACATTAAGATTAATTTAGAGAACTGAAAGTCAACCAATTCGCAGAAAAATGGTAAGAAGAGTCTTTTGACCTCTGAATAAATCAGTAGGACACAGAGGAATCAAGTGTTAAAGAATGTATGGTACATGTGCCATTATCAGTGTGGTTAAAAATGTGCTATATGAATGCAGATACATACCAAAGTGAGTTGAGGGTCCACGGTTCAATAATGTATTATTTTGGCAGAACGTAATGGAAATGTACTCCATTCAAGTGTGAAACAGACACAGGTAGAGAGTATGTGTAGAGAAGGAGATGCATGTGTTAGAAAGCACACCACCTTCTCAATTGTTACAACGATTGTAATTTGTCCCTTCGTGTTTTTAACAAGGGGCTGATGCTTCCAAGGACGATGGGGTCTACTCCAGGTACTTCATAGCTTATTCAGAAAATGGCAGATACAGCTTGAAAGTACGAGCAAATGGAGGAACAAACTCAACCAGGCTAAATTTGCAGCGTCCGTCGAGCAGAGCTGCATACATTCCAGGCTGGGTGGTGGACGGTGAGTGGCTCCCAGTATCAGAGACACAGGGAATAATGTTTGTGATTTGATATGAGGGAGGCTCCAAACATTTTTATAATTCAGAATAAAGCTGTCCCCATTTCTAGACTCGGGTCGTTATATAACTGTCTCTAAATTAAACCAGTCTAAGCCTGGCATCCAGGAGACCTGAAAAGCGATCAGCTGGTGTTACCTTAGTGTAGCACACCCTTACACTATGAGCAACAACTCAGGACAAAGGAAAGAGCCCCCTGTGCTATGAACACAAGCACGAGCCAGAGGGGGAGTCTGTGCTCTGAGCTACATGTGTTTTGGTGATTTTAAGCTTTCCTTTCCTTGCTCCTTATCTCGTGACTTGGAAGGTGGCTGGGGGTGGGCTTTTTAAGCGATGGAATAAATCTGGAGAGTTATTCCTTACCACTTTCGGCCTGCAGGGAAGAATGTCTTTTGAGTGTTAAGGAGAGAACTGGCATAGAGCACTTCTGAGTGTTAAGGATAGATGCATTTCTAGTCAGAAATAACGAGAAATAAAGCAATACTTTTCTTAAGGCATACATTAGTGAGGAGTAGTGACACACACCTGCGATCCCAGCACTTAGGGGACAGAATCAGGAGGATATCCTTGGCTACATAAGTGTATTTGAGGCCAGCCTAGCCTCAAATAGGCCACCATGTTTGATTTTGGATTTGTTTTGTTTCGTTTTGTTAATTCATATAACAAATTACATAACATTCTCATTCAGTGCAGTTTTCATTTCAAAGCAAGCTACTGTCCAATTTGATTTGATAATATCCTGGAAATGATTCTGGAAGAATAATTTTCCAACAAATTGAATGCTTATAATTGTAGCACATAACAAGAATGCAACCGTTGTAAACAAAAAGAGAAAAAAGAAAGAAAAAACGAGTAAGGTTAGGAAGCTGAGGGACTGAGTTCCAAAAACAGTCATACAGTTTCATCCAGTTTAAACTAGAGAATTTTGAATGCAGGAGAAATTGAAGCGAACCCACCCAGACCGGAAATGACTGAGGCTGATCAGCCAATCCTGGAGAACTTCAGCAGGACAGCATCTGGAGATGCATTTGTGGTGTCCGGTGTTCCAAATGGTCCATTGCCTGACATGTACCCGCCAGGTCAAATCACTGACCTTCAGGCCACACTCGATGGAGAAGAGATCAGTCTAACATGGACAGCCCCTGGAGATGATTTCGATGTTGGGAGAGGTAAGAACAAAGAACCGTGAGAAACATGTGGCTCTCACTTAAGTGAGAGATGGTCACTGTGAGGCAAGAGCAGATGGGTGAGCTGGAGGGAAGGGTTTTTAACCGAGAACTCAGCCAAGTAGGAATTTAATGATCTCATGTTTTATAATTTATCAAACAGGTCGTGCTTTTCATGCAAACATAGTAGCATTTCGCTACTCAGTTTATATTGAGAAACGAATAAGACTTTTGAGATTGCATGAGTAAACGTTCTTGAAAATAACTAGGAAGAGATTTACTGTGGTATGATGCAGTAACTAACCACCACGTAACACTTTTCTCAGTTCAACAGTATATCATAAGAACGAGTGAAAATATCATCGACTTAAGAGACAACTTTGATGGGGCTCTTCAAGTTAATACAACTAACCTGATACCGAAAGAAGCCAACTCCAAGGAAATCTTTGCCTTTAAACCAGAAAACATCTCAGAAGAAAATGCAACCCACATATTCATTGCCATTAAAAGTGTTGATAAAGGCAATTTGAGATCAGGACTGTCCAACATTGCACAAGCAGCACTGTTCACCCCTCAAGCAGAGCCGGGACCTGATGAGCCTGCTGGGCCTGATGGGCCTGGTGGAAGTTCATATTCTGGAGTTAATGTTTCTACCATTGTGCTGTCTGTGGTGGGCTCTGTTGTTCTTGTTTGTATTATTGCAAGTGCCACTATTTGTATCTTAAAGGGAAGAAGGTCCTCATCAGAACCTGTAACGACATTTTGAAAAGCAACATGGATAAAAGGGTATTTCTGAGTTTTTAAGTATATCCCATGTGATCATGAACACAAAAATACTTTCAAGAAGGTCTAAAAGAATACGTCAAGCACACCAATGCAGTGAAAAGCTACCAATATTAATGTCTGTAATTTTATTCACTTATAAATAATGATAAATAAAGCTGTTTTTTATATTGATCTCTAGTTTAACTTTTTTTTGTGATGCCAAAGTTTTCTGAAATGATACTTCACATTTCCTGAAGAAATTAAAAGTGTCTATTTAAGTAGCCAAGATAGAATATCAAAGGGTAAATCAAAAATATTTAGAGGGAAAAAAGGAATGTGGTTTTGCTGTTATCAATATAAGTTAATGATATTACAGCAACTCAAAATCCCCAAATGTACATTATCATAGTGAAGGTCATACTTACTGTAACTCGTGGGTATGGAAGATACTATTTTGATTATTTGACTTTCATTTTGTGTGTGTATGTGTGCATGTGTATGTGTGTATATATACATACGTATGAGTATGTATAAATGTGTGTGTATGCATTGTGTATGTGTGTGTGAGCGTGTGCATGTAGAGATCAGAAGACAGTTTGTGGGAGTGGGTTCTCTCCTTCTGTCATGTGGGTTCTGGGGCACAAACTCAGGTTGTCACGCTTGGCAGCAAGAGTCTTTACTCTCAGCCATCACACTAGGCTCAGGAAGGTAGGTACTATTTTTTTAAAGATCAGATACCACCTGTTTATCTTTCAATTCAATCTAAACACCTCTTTTCTCTTGAAAGCCCACCTACCTATGTACTTTTTCATTCATATTAAGAAAGAATTGTTGAAGCTACAGTCTACTGACTTTTTTTTCCAGAGAAAAGAAAGCAAATATATGTTAAATGTTGCTTTAAACCATCACTCAGAGGCAAAACCTAGGATGGATAAGAGATAGGGGAGAAAGAAAGTAGGTTGAGAAGAGTAGATTCACATTTACAGGCAGTATTTACAAACCTTTCATGAGACTGAGTTAACCCAAATATGGCTTACCTCATACAAGAACAAGTGCAGTTGAGGATGTGAAGAAAGGAACCTTTATCATGCTTGGTGGGTATGAAAATTGGTGAATTTAAAGCCAAAAGTACTATGTGACCCAGCTGAATCTTTTCTGGGCGTACACTTAAAAGCCTACATCCCATCACGGAAGAACTTGCACATCCACGTTTGTTTGCAGTGCTGTTCACAATGGCTAAGAAATGGAATATCCTAGCAGTCCATCAACAGAAAACCAGGCAAGAAAAATGTGCTGCATGTACACTTCAAATGTTATATAACCAGCCACGAGGAAAAATAAAATCGTGACATCTTAGGAGAATGGATAAAAATGGAAATGATCATGTAAGGAAAAATCCCAGACTCATAGAGATAAATCTCTACCGTTTTTTCTCATGTCAATTCCATGTTTTAATATGCATTTATATATATATGTGTGTGTGTGTGTTTCTATAATATTTCTTGCCTCTTCAAATTAAATTTCCTTTAACCATATTTTACTTTAAATCTCTACTAGTTTATCCTGTGTTTCACTGAAATGATTTAAACAATTACATGTACATATTTTCTGCTTGCTTATTCTTCATTCTTTCTTTCTTAAAATGAATCATGCTAAAGTCGTTAACAGAGATGTTGTTATATTCAGAGGCCATCTTTGCTTCTGAAGCACAGGTTTGTGAGAAATATAGACAAAATATAGAAACCTGGTAGGGACTACAGTTTCTAATAACAAGTTAGTAATTCCAGCTCTATCTATTCTCCTAAGTATGTCATAATTTTATTTTTCTTATGGCTGGTTATGTAAAATTTGATGTGCATTTGCACCACATTTTTCTTGCCTGTTTGTCTGTTGATAGGCATCTGGGCTCTGAATGACAGGTGAGTGACCACAAGGTCATAGGACCTGTTCTGTCCAGTCTGCTACCTGATTTTATAAAGCTAGGGCAGGATGCCCAGCTTCATAGAGCAGTCCTTTGCTATGACTTGGTGAGTCACCTTTGCATGTTTCCACAGCTGTGGTGCCCTCTTCTGCGCAATTACATAAAGTCGGAACTACATCTCCCAGAAACAATATAACCGTGTCATTTGGTTGGAGGTTGGTCAAATGATTGATTAGCATAATTACTTTTTAACAAAAGTAGATATATAAATTTAGGGACACAGTCCAGAAAGTTGTTCAGATATCACCTTGGTTTGGCTTAGTTTTGTCAGTGTTGGTGGCAAAATAATATAATTCTAAAACAATGAATTTGCTGTCTTCGTTCATACCTTACAAATGTCTGTCTCGCTGTGAGAGAAGCATCTCACACACCATGATCACCATCACCACCACCACCACCCAAGTCAGAGACCACAAGCCAATCCTTTTCTCTGCCAATTTCTTCACCACTTACATTCAGTCACTGAACAACCGGTACCCTCTCATCTCCTTCCACTGGCTCCTGCACACATGTGATGCTCATACATACATTCAAGCACACACTTCCTCATGAAATGAATAAGTTTTTTTTAAAAATGATACCTTTTCTCCTCTTTTCTTCCTGCTGTCTCAGTAACCTGCTAATAGAAATTGTTGTCCCTGCCTGGTCTTTCTATATTTCATCTAACCTCCTCGTCTATATCCCTCACTGATCTGGATATGCGATACACCCCATACTACTCCTAGATAAAAATCTAAGGGTGTCAATGTGCCTCTGTGACAGTGAGGATGCCTGTCTCATTCATCCCTTCTTTGTGTGTGTTTACCCAGCACAGGAGCACATGGCTGGAAAATAGAGGAGCCTCCTTTCGCTGGGCCTTGCCTCATCCTCTTACAGAGCTCTCTTCTCTGTTACCACAGGAAGCCAGGTATTTCCACTTCTGCCCAAAGTCGGCACTGTTCTGTTTTTAAGCTCCAGGCCTATGTTACAAACATCATATTCTCTGCTTCTTCCTAAGTCCTTAATCATTTTCAAACTTCCTATTCTGCCCTCTGACCACATGCCCCTCCTGTTTTCCTCAGCACACTCCCAAACAGAATGGACCAGTCTCTTTCTGAGCCTTCATATAGTGTTCTAACACGCAAGAACATTTTATTTTTTTACTACCCAACAGATGCTGTCCTGGGCCTCCTCAACTGTAGAGTGAGTTCTTTGGAGGAGAAAGGGTTGCATCATTAGAGAGAGTTAAAGAAAAAGAAGACAGACGACTGAACAGGTAAAACACTCACAAAAATGGAGAATCCTATTCTTACTTCCTTTCCCCATGGATCTTGTAAACCATCAAGCCCTACAAATGCTTACTTGCTCAATGAGCCTCCAACCAGCTTCCCTGGACTACAGCCCCAGCATTTCCATAGTCACTGCAAAAACTCTTCTCTAAAGAGAAGCTTTGTGAACCACTGCACAAGTACAAAGAGTGGGACTGGGAATCCAGTCTAATCCAGCTCCTAGGATAAGGCTGAGGGAACACGATTCCATCACTTCTGTGAGGAGCAGTGGCATATTTTCTAATTTCCAAGTGGTTTTTCTTAATTCACCCAAGACAGACATTGGCACCAGCTACTAGACCTGTCCGCAATGGAACTGACTGCCACAGCCTTTTCTAAAACCGGACTCCATAGCCAAACTTGGAGCAGAGTGCAGGGAATCTTATGAAAGAAGCAGGAGATAGAAAGGCCTGGAGGGGACAGGAGCTCCACAAGGAAAGCAACAGAACCAAAATATCTGGGCACAAGGGTCTTTTCTGAGAGTGATACTACAACCAAGGACCATGCATGGAGATAACCAAAACCCCTGCAGAGATATAGCCCATGGCAGCTCAGTCTCCAAGTGGGGTCCCTAGTAAGGGGAACAGGGACTGTCTCTGACATGAACTGATTGACCTGCTCTTTGATCACCTCCCCCTGAGGGGGGAGCAGCCTTACCAGGCCACAGAGGAGGACAATGCAGCAGTCCTGATGAGACCTGATAGGCTAGGGTCAGATGGAAGGGGAGGAGGACCTCTTCTATCAGTGGACTTGGGGATGGGCATGGGAGGAGATGAGGGAGGTAGGATGGGGTTGGAAAGGAATGAAGAAGGGAGCTACAGCTTGGACACAAAGTGAATAAACAATTATTAGTAAAAAAAAAATAATAATTTAAAAATTAAAGCAAAAAAAATAAAAATAAAACCAGACTCCATGCGGCACTAAGAATAAGAGGCCTGCTCCTGTAACTGATGATGCCTGCCTTTTAATCTCTGTTCTCATAGTTCCTCTTGCCTTGCAGAGGGCTCTAACCTCCAGCTCCCTGGACTGATAATTCTCTAACTATGTCGCAGTTACTGTCACCAGAACCTGAGCATCATTTGTCATGAACTTTCCTTCCATTATCCCCAATTCTATATCCTATATTCACCTGGTATGTCATGTTCATTTTTATGTCTAAAGGTAAGCACTAAATTTCCTGGGAAGAATGCTCTACCTCTTCCAACCTCCCTTCCCAAAGGAGTGAACTTCATGCTAGCCTCAGGTTCACTCTAGCTCTGGCTGTCTCTGCTATTCATGTGTGCTTGTTTCTCTCCAGATGGTGAGGTCCTTAAAGGCAGGAGAGAATCCCTTATTCATCGTTGTAGCTGCAATACCTATCACCATGCTCACTAAATATTTGTTCGGCTTTCTCTTGGGTATCAGTTGAAATGAGTCAGTCCCTGGGTTGACAAAAGGACAACAAAGGAACCAGTACTCACCTGATGCTTGGTGCATAAGCTACAAGGAGGAAATACAATTCCTCTGGAGGGAAATGTTGAATCACCCCACTTAAGAAAAACAACAGATAACTGAACTATGTCCTCAATGTTTCTGCAATAACACACTTGAACCTTTTTCCTCTTAGTTGACCTATTTCCTCTTAGTTGTCCAATAAGCCTCCATCTGGTATTTAGGCTGATTCAAATCTTACATGAATCTCCTTCTGCCTAACATAGTGCTTCAAATGCGTTTATGGCACCACACAGTTTGAAGTCACTTTGAAAGACACTTATCCAAAAACAGGGGGAAAAAAAACCCTGACTTCACACCTGAGAAATGCAGCCCCAGCCCCCTTACCCTGTTGTACCCTGTGCAAACAAGAGCACCGGGATGCTTGGCAGCTGCTGCTTGATCCTCTTTTCTAATCCTGGGGAAGCCTTTCC